AACAATCCCAGCAGCAGGGATTGGGATACAGGGGAAAATCCCAAGTATCCAGTCAAAAAATTGCAAGCCCTCTCTCCGGTCTAGTGAACATTTCAAGGGTTTTTTTTTTTTTTTCCTCCACTGTGAAAACCCGTTAAAGGCAAATTAACCTGTTATTTCCCACTTTTTAGGTGACTTTGCCTGTGGCATCGCACCATCACTTAATGTGAAGCCCACTTCTACCAGAGTGGGTAGGGATGCTCTGAAACAGCCTACCCTTCAGCCCTTCTGGAGGCACAGGCAGAAAAGCATCGGCTTTCTGGTATAAGCCACAGAGCTGATCTGTCCTGTGACAAATAGAGCTTTTGATACGGGCAGAGAGGCCCTGGGGAAATTTCAGATTCAAAAGTCTGTGAAGTTTAGGCATGTATCTTTAGATTCATAGCTGTGGGCATGTGTTCCTAAATTCCCATCCAAGTCCCACTGAAGACCAGCTCGCTTTGTGGTAGTTCTTAAGTCATCTAATTTTTAAACGTGGTTTTTGCTGCCTGCAGCCCATAAAATATCTCTGGCCCATCTGTAAACATGATGTTTCCTCTACCAACATGGGGACTCCTTTAGATCTGTCCAAAAAAATTACGAGTTATTTTTGAAAAAAGAATTGTTTACCTTTTCGCCTGAAGAGGTTAAATGAGGAGTACGACAGCTGAACTCCGGAGCACGTTCTCAGGAATACCGTATTATAAAAACCTCCCACTCTCTTGTGGGACTGTTCAGCCTCTAAGAAACTGTTGATGATAGCATTACGTTGTAATTTAATGCAAATGCCATCAACATGTAGTTTCCTGCAGAAGACAGGGGGAAACCTATACCCAGCAATAAGCTAAGAGCATTGCTCCCAAAGCTGCCCAACAAGTTTGGCAGGCTAAGTCTACTGACAACATCTCCTGCTTGTAATGCCAAGTTACCCTTACTCGGAAAACTGGGCTTTAATCCTGAAGATCCATGCCTGTGCTGCTGTATGTCGTGCCATTTGCACTTCGTGGAGTTTGGCCTGGACACACAGGTGTGCAGGGTTCATCCCAAGATTCAGAGAGGCCTTGTTTGAAACTGAGCTTACTTGCAGTGGTACAGGAAATAAATCGGAGCACTTGAGTTTTTACGTTGCCTATAGCCATTTCTTTCTCTTGAGTAAGGAGTCAGCTTTATTTGTACAGAAGGATTTTAACTACAGAGGGAAAAAATATTTCCTTGAACTATAACAGGAATCCTCAGCCAGGGGGTATTCTTTTATACCTTTGGAATTAACAATAAAAGGAGACCAAGGTAGCTGATGACATAGGCTAGGCCCCCAACATGCAGTGTGATAGAGGTAAAGAGTTGAGAAGCATGGAGATGCACCCACACAGTATTTCAAGTCCCTAATCAGCACTACTGAGCTCACGTGCAACCATGGGTTATTGTAGCTGAACTCAGTGGTCGAGACCTCTTGGACTGTATTTGGCTTTGCAGCCTTGAAAAATTTCTTTCTTTTCTTACCTTCTTCTTTCTTCCTGTTAAGCATAAAACTGGCTTTGGAGTCACGGGATGCTTGTGGTACTGTTCATGGTGAAGAGAGAAAGGAGGAAAAAGAAAAAAGGTCTCCCAGCACCATCTTGCCCTTCCCACACTTCCCTTCCTGGTGCAATGCTGCAGCTGGCCCCACTCTGTCCTTTCGGCCCAACCCTCAGCAGCTTTGTTGTTCCCCTGCTTCCCTGCCAGCATCTCAGTCCAGTTGCCAAGGTTCCAGTGCCCGTCGAAAAAGAGAGATTCATAAGCAATGAAAAATACAATAATAAAATTAGCATTCTTGTTACCCCTTTTCCTTTCCTCACCTTTTGGCTCCCATTTTCCATTCATTTCTCTAGTGCTCTTTTTCTGTTTTTCCTTTCTGTGTATTTACATTGTGTTCCTCAATCTTCTTCATTCTCTCTGTCTTTTTATCTTGAATTTCTCCTGACTTGGTTTGCATTTTCTTTCTGCATTCCCATCTCTTTAGCTTCCATTTTTCATCCAGCGCTTTCTTTCTTTCTTCACACTGCCTTACCCCTTCCTCCTCCATGTATCTCCTCTTTTCCTGCCTTTATGAGTCCTAGCCTTTTTTTTCAGTGACAACCTAAATATTTTTGAGTAGCTCTTTCGGAACTTTCCTCCTTCTTCCAATCTCCATATTTTGTCTCTTTCAATGAGACAAAACAATGATCCTCCATTAATTTCTCTTACTCGATCTGTAAATATATTCTCTCAGAACTCCCTTTCCATCTGTATAAACACTTTATCTCAGGAAATGCCAATGTGTGTGCAAATTTTGTCTTTTCTAGGCCCTTAGGATGGTATGTGCAGAGTTCAAAACTACGCCGCTTTCCTAATGGGGCCAATTGGCTGTACAAAGCATTTTGCAAGTTTCAGAACCAACCTGGCTGTTCTCCATACACAATTCTTGCTGTTACAACACACTAAGATGTATCACTTCTGTTCTACAAAATGTTGGAAGCAGGAAATGGGCAATGACTGTGCGGTGAACAAATGATTACTTCACCAGACACATAAATCTGTAGTTTGCAATTGTCTACAAAAAACATATATAATTTTCTCCATCAGGCCAGGTGGAAGGCGAGGTGGAGCAGCTTGGCAATCTGAGCAGGCCATCAGCTGTGCTTGCCTTTTTCCATTGCAGGCACCACCTTTCAGCGTGTAAGGGTTCCTACTCACAAGCTCCCACATACTTTTTCCCATGTCCTCCCATGACAGTTCTTGCTCAAGGCCCAGAGGCTAGAATGGGTGGAACTGCAACAGTAGACTATAACAGCATTTCTCATACCATCAGGAAACTTACGGATACTTTTCCATCACATGCTTCAAGATTAATGGGTTTCATATTAGGACTTCTAAATTTCCACAGGACCGGAAGAGACTGAGCAGTGGAACTGGTACACCTGAGACCAATTTCTGAACAAAATGAGGATTACAGGACAGACTCCCTTTTTGGCTATGTGAAAGCAGATGAGTGTGATAAGCTGCTTCCAGGGACTCATGTGATGGATTATATTACAGCTCCACCTGCAGCTGCACCTTCTGGTCCACCATATTTGGCCCCCAGTTTATGTATTAGCTCATCTGGTTCCTTCCACACTTTTCTCCTTCAGAGCAGGTTGTAACATAAGCCTAACATCTTATCTGAACTCATTTACCAGGCCGTAGAGTATTAGACAGTGTAAGATAGCATTAGAATTATCTTTTACTCATTATAGTTAGTAGCTTAATAAAGCATGGTTAAATGTTAGACGGTCTAGGCCAGTCTGGGCTTCCCAATCAGAAATAAGAAATATTGGCAAAGTATACTGGCAGAGAGAAGAGGCAGAAGTGAAAGGTGAACCAGAACTTTCCAGGGCAAGCTGTTATGTTTATAAATGACCAACAAATAGGTTTGTTTGCCTTCTATAGGCTAAGATAGCCTCGTATCTGTAATTCTGCTTGCCTTGCGTTGGCTAGAATATCTTAAGTCAGGAGGCGAAAAAGATATGAGCCCCACCCTGAGGCAGTGTTAGTCTGCTTTCACGGAATAACCTTTCTTGGCAAAGGTATTGACAGGGAAGCCTCCTTGCTCACATGAAATTGTGTGGTTGTACTAAGTTCAGCATTTAAAAAGAGTATGAGCCTCATTGAATGGAGACTCACTTGTGAACTGGAATATTTTCAGACTCAGAAAAAATGAAGGGAGTGATGTCTCGGCTCTTCTCCTTCAGGAAATCTCATCCAGGTGGGAAAAAGAGCAATGGGGCCACCTGCCAGAGATTTCCAGAAGTCTAGCTTAATCTAGAATATTAGAAATAGGCCTGACATGGCCTGCTGTGTATCTGCAACTACTGGAACAAGAGTCTGTGCCCAAACACAAACAAAACTGTACAAGAGTACAAGAAACCAGTCCCCCCTGCCTAGAGAGTTACTGTTCAGCCATCAACCCCTTGTGTGATAGCCTGGCCCACCTGCTATAGGAGAACCACACTTGAAACCACAGTGATAACAGCTCCGACAGCTCTGACTCCAGCCTCCAAAACAGATTATCTAAGATGGGAGGATTTAAAACACTATCCAGTCACCTGTGTTCCACTGTGTTGAGTGAAGTTACATAGCTGTCACTTAAATTATTGAGCTGATAGAGATCTTCACAGGCAAATTCCTTGTTGGACAGGAAGGACTGCAAAATAATTGTTGTTTTTTGGATTCTTTTCATGCCCTGTATTCATGTAACAGAACAGCTGATGAATATCAGCTCAGATCCCTGGAGATCTGTAGGGACCCACCTCCCACTGGTTTTGGTGGTTAGCCCCCTCAGTACCTTCAAAGACATGGGCCAGTGCCTCCAGATAACCCTCTGATATTAAAACGTGTTAGAGCTCATTAAAGGCCCACACAGGGAAGAAAACTGGTAAGTCCACTTAATCATTGTGACTAAAGGCTACTTATGGTCTGGCAAGACCAAGAATAAAATCAGAATTCCTGCCTCCAAATTCATGCTAACCAGCATGCTGTGCTCCCTTCAGCACAGCAAAAATACCAGTGTTAAAAGAGAGGTATACGTGTTACAAATGGCACGTTCCCATTAAGAAATCTTTTTCCATTTTTTTTTTTCAGATCTGAAGCACTAAGAGCAATTCTCAAATAAAATCCCCCCCTTTTTCCTTGAGGATACTTAATTGAATTAACTGTATATTACTGGTCCTTAATTAAGGACCTGAATTAACTGGTCCTTACTGTGAACTACTATCATGTGACCCATAAGCTCAATCCAGACCGTGATTTAGTCTTATGTTTTGACTCTGTGGCCTAAGTGAGCCTGTTCAGTTCCATATAATCTACTGGAGGTCAAGAGTGAACGATATCAGACTGACACTGGTGGTATTGCAGACATTTGACACAGATTTTTATAGTGCTTTATTCTGAATAGTAATTAGGTAAACCAGTACTGAACATATGCAGCAGGCAGTCTTTAGATAGAAATGAAATCCAATTACTGTGATGTAAAATTTGGAGACTGGTAATTGCAATGTTAATCCCATCCAAATTGAGGCCGTGATTTCTTTCTCATACCTCAGACCTTAAGTAATTTTAGGAAACCTCCTTAATGCCCAATCCAAAATTAGAAATGACAGTCAACCCGTGCCTGAAAAGTGTTGCACTTCTAGTATTATGCCAAAGGCTTTCTACCCTAGAACTGCATAACTTTCTTTTTCTCAGGACAGATACAACAGGACTCTTCTCAGCTGCAGTGAACTGGTCCCCTCTTCCATGTTTGAAAGGGAATGAATGAAAAAATCCCACACAGGGAAATCAGACCCCCCCCAACCCAACCTATGAACTGATGTAGCTCACGCAGAAGAGCAATATGGCTGTACGTTATGACAATAGTTGCTCTTGCCTCTTGCATCCACAGGTCTCAATGGTTCTGGTTCTACCCTGAATTGCTTAGCGGCACTGCAAAACTTAAGCGCTGTTTCATTGTGCATTAATAGGGGTCCATTGAGCACCCTGGACTGCCAGATTGTAGCCAGGTACACGGGAGGGCTGTAACACCACACGTCCACATTTTCCCCTTTTAGGCAACAGGAATCCGAGGGACAGTGGTTTGGCTATGGAACGTGGATGTCGCTCTCCCTACGGCTCTTCCTCCCAGAGTCCTTACCAGTTCCCAGTCTATCAAAAATGGGCTCTCAGTTCACTCTGCTTTGGGGGAAGAAGCGTCATAGAGGTACAAAATATACTTGCTGCTGAGGCTGCCATAATTCCTGGTAAAACATGATGTGTTCTGCATAGTGGGAATCCTTCAGCTTAAGAGAGTGAAACAAAAGGAGACAAACTAGTTCTGCTGCATATGTAGAGTACATTATATTACACAGCTGATACATGAACATGTCAGATTTCCTTTCAAAGGTGATAGTCAGGATGTCAAGCTTTACAGGAACATGCATCATCATAAATGTAATTGTGCTTTTTCATGATTATGTCCCACTTAAGGGGAACAGAATCTGCCTGAAAGAATCACGTTGCGAGTTTTGTTGTGCCTAAATAAGAAGATAAATGGATGGTCAGCTTTAAATTCATCTTTGTGTTGCAGAATCCTATATCCTGGTACCTCTAGGGACTCACCACCTTGTTCATTTACTTCCAGAGAGACTTTATGGATGATCTTGGACAAAACCACTCCTTTAGTCTCACACATTTCAGAAAAATCCGATGCACTCTCATTAAAGACGTTTGTCATCCCCAAGCTTTCCAGAAGTGGCTTTAGGTCATAATCGCCTTCTATGTTAAACTTTGGAAGGAACACATTCACTTTGGTGTTGGCCATCCTGCTGGGATTGGTCCACTCTAATAACGTCTCAGGGGTGAGTGCTTTTTCCAGCTGAAGTCACAAAGTATGGAAGGAAATTAATGGTCAGTTCAAGGAAAGAGGAAAACAAACAAACAAGCAAGCAAACTCCATTCCTGCAGTTTCCACTCCTGTCAACACCTCAAAAACAAAATCAAAAAGGCAACCTTTACTTTTTGAATTCACAGCTGCAGCATTCAAGTTTGAATTATGCTCTCAGTTACACGGATGTATGAATGATTAATTCATAGGATACAACCTCCTGGAGCAACCACATTGAATGTACATGCTTGGGCTAGTACCTTACAAGTTTATGTTGTGCAATCACCTCAACCACCACATGAAGGAATCTGAGAAAGACAGCCTTGACCCAGGTTACATATAGCTGAATGGTAGCTTCCAAAGTCTTGATTCCTGACCCTACTGAGTAACGAACCTACGGTTTTTGGAACAGAAGGACTCCAAATCCAGAGCCTGATCTTGATCAATCAAGCAGCTGTTTAGACAAGTTTTAAAAACTGAGGAATGGGGCTATAGTACTTGGGGCCACGACAAACTGGTATGAAGGAAAGGCCAGTCCTGCATTTTAAAATCTGCATGGTCTGTTTGTGATGACATCACAAATATGACATCAGGAACAGAGAAGCAGAATGAGAAGGTAAATTCACTGGAAATTTACTTTTTGTTTCCTTCTAAATAACTTTCAAATAACAAAGATCTTCCATAAGTATTTTAAGTGAGCTGCTTCCAGAGGAAGCATCGTATCAAGTCTATTTTTTTTGCTCTCACCTGTTCCAAGCCAGTGGTCTCATCTTCGATCTCTTTGGGCAGCAGAATAAGCATGCTTATATGTTTATTAAGGCATGGAAGCTCAAGAATTGCAACTTTTAATTCCTTTACATAGCCCAGGCAAAAAGTAGCTTCAAGATTCATCATTTGCGCCGGTTTAGTTTCAGTCTGCAAAACAGAGAAGAAATGATCTAGCGTCCCTTTTAATTCACAGCTAAAAGAGTAAGAGAGATAAGTTTGTAAGCTTGGGTGGGAATGGTATGTTGTGCTACTATCAGGAAATTTGTTGGCTTTTGTATGTAGTGAAACCAGCGTTAAGAGACCTTTCTAGAGTGACAGCTGTTGGCTCCTTACAAGAGTTGGTCTTCCAAGGAAGACTGGAACAGAATTCTACTTAATACAATAGCAACATGTCATGCCTTAGAAGAGAAATTTACCTAATATTGGTAGCCCTTCATATCTGTTTCACTGAGGGCCACAATCTATACTGTCTAAAGGGCATCATAATGTTAGTAAGTGTCAAGAACTGAGCTTATCTCAGCAGAGAAGGCCAAGCCGTTCAATATGAACAATTGACATTTTGGTTCAGGAGCCGAAACAGAACAGGAAAAAAATTCAAGCTTACCCAAAGCCAGATGTTTTTGTTTTTCATTAATGAAACAAAACAAAATAAAAACTCTTTATTTGATGGAGAGGATCAACAAATTGCTCTGTTCATCTGGAAAGTCCTTTTAAACCTCAAATTCGGTAGGAAAATGTGACTTCAGAAAAAAGATCTTGCAAAGTTTTCACTTAAAAATCACAGCGTTGACTTTATCGTTTTAACATGATAACATAACACCTTTTTAGCCGAAGTTGTTTGCTGCTTTGGTAATTTACTAGTTTTTTCAGTCAACCTGAGACTCCAACTTTTTTCATATGGATGTCTATGCATACATATATATATAAATATATATATTCTTGGAGTGCAAATTCTTTATCTCAGAAATATTGCCCAGCTGTATATTTGGTTTAAAGCTGATTCTCTGGTCACTGTATTCATCGCTGGTCACAGTTTTGACAGAGTCCAAGAATGCCAGGGTAATAATAAACATCTCTCATTTTCTCTTGTTGGAATTTGTTTAGTTCAAAGTTAGATAACATTTATTTAAGTAGGAACAGTACTCTATTTTTCTCAAAACTTACCTTGTTGACTTTAAAAGGACATTCTTTGATTTCTGCCTCTGGGAACTTCTTCATCCAGTTTGTGACAAAATAAGCTGCATTAACTAGGAGGATTTGAGTCTGGTCACTTACATTTTCCTCATTCAAAATATTCTCCATTTTACCTGTGAAGAAATTTAACCCGGTTGTCAATACAGCAATACATTACCAATATATCATTTGCTTCAACTGAATACGGAACCACTATGCTGAATTAAAGCGTGTCCTGCACTTCACAGGTGGAAGATTTTCATGCTAAGGAAAAAAAAAAAAAATCAAAAAGAATCACTTACTCCCCTAATTGTAGTTTAATATTTGAAGTGGAAGTTGGGATCCAGATTGATCTGAATGACATTTTTTTCCTTGATCTATGTAGCATCGAATCAAAAATGTGTCTACTGCTTTTGTTTAGTACCTTAAAGAAGTCACTGGATTTTCAGTGAAATTCAACAGGTGTGAGAAAGACATTTGTCATATGGAGAGCAAAACTTGAAGGGCAGTTCCAGATTAGCTGCTGCTCTCTTCTAGAATGATACATGAGAATAAAATAACCAGAATAACAGGTAATGTTGTTCTGAGTACAGTTCATAACCAAATAGTGTTATAGCATTCAAAGAGAGTATGGAATCAGTCTCCCTCCCCCACCCTGCTTTAGACTTATTCAAGCAAAGCCATTAAAAGAATTAAGAACACTGGGGAAGGAAGTTCTCCCTTCATGCATGGATGTGGCACAGACTGTATAGACAATGCAAGGTACTTCCACAAGGCCACCTGCACCAGCTTAGGAAGGACCAGACGTGACTCATGCACCTATATTTTCATATCTGTATCACGAGGGCAACAGACAGCAACCGACCCCAGAGCTACCTGTAAGCAGGCTGTAAATAAGCTCTCTTATGGGCACTGCGTGTGCACATCAGCTGGGGTCAGACTTCTGTCCCCCACAGACTGGGCAAGCTGTGCCTGGGGACCGTCATGGTCACCGATGTGCATCTCTTGTGGCTCAACCTAGTAGTTAGTGGCTCAGCAGTAGTTTGAGGTAAACGTTCTCAGCCCAATTGGCATAGGAAGGCGTATCCAAAAAAGAAACACATGTCCACATGTGGCACCTCTGCTGGCAAAAACAGCAAAGCAGCTGAGGAATTAATAGCCCCAAATTCAGAATCTAGCAAATACCTGCCATTAGAATAAAATTTCTAAAGGAAATAGGACCTTAGCTCAATGTGCCAGTGTCAGATGTTTCTGAAGCTCCACAGCCAGGAGCTGTTGTTCTCCCACACTGGCCTGCTGAAGTAAAATGTAAACAACTTTCCACAAGGCTTATGCAAGCTCTCCCATTTCTGTCTTCAGCAAAGCTGCAGTAGTAAATTTAATGATTGCAAAACATGCTAACATTGCTAATCCTCATTAATCCAAATAACAGGTCTAGTCCCATTACTTTCATTAATATTTATTTATGAAAGCATTACCAAAGAGATGTTGTGAGGACAAAGATCTCCTTCTACAAAGGAGTAAAAAGTGTCTCCTATGTTAAACTGTTCTCACCATCAGTTAGCTCTGAAAGAGATTTGTTGATCTTCTGCCGGGTCTCCTCAGTTTTTTCTTTGAACTCCACTAATTCCAGTTCAGATGGGAAAGGCCTCTTTGTGGAATTGACAAAGTCCTGAAAGATAAAAGGAACCAAAGACATCCTTCACCACATGGTAGCTAGAGAGTTTGTTATTGTGGATGGCTATTAAATAACAGAAGGTGACAACCAGGCTGCATTCAGCAGATTGCTCACAAGACGATCTTCAGTCCAGTGGCTTCACATTGCTAGCTAAAGTAACATTGATATTGCAAGAGTGAGCATGTTACCACAGTTTGAAGGGATAAAGCAACCCTCAGTCGAAATCTGGTAAGAGAAACGACTGTGAAACAGACTTTTTACATCATGTCTAGCCTCCCCATCCACTCTTTACAGCAGTGCAGCTGAGGAGTTTATTGCTGTAGATGGGTATTGACATTTGTTATAACAGATGCTGAACAGCAGGCAGTCTGATTACAGAAGTTTTTAAGCATGTTGTAAGTTTTCTGAAACACCACTTTTAGGCTGAAATTGTCCTTACTTGGGGCCCTAGAGAAAAAAATAAATAGTGTTCTTCAGTTATTTACCAGCTCTATAAGTTATAAGGCCAAGATTGTGCCTCCTTGCAGATGTTTACTGCACAAGCTGAATTTTTTTTTTTAAATTACTTGGGTGTGTGAACTGGACACACACTCGCACCACCTTTTTTTCCACTCCTTTTCATTCATACTTACAATGCAAACACCTTGATGTGGCATAGAAGTAATATTGCACAGCCTGGGGACAAGCAGCAAGCTCATCCTTCTACAAACATTTATGGCAGCAGAGAAGACTGTTTTTTCATCATCTGAGTCTAGCCAAGTAATAGCCAAACTGAGATGCTTCATTTCAAAATAACGTTGAGATCTCACACCATAACCTGTCAACATGCTGACCAAGCAATTCATAGCACAAGACTTTTCTGCAGTACTTACTGTGGTAGGATTAAGAGACTTTTCTACAAAGAGCCGTTTGACCATTTTCAGTGCAAAGAAAGAGCTGAGTTTGGAAACATCTGCAGTTACTGTTTGGAACCCAAAAGAAACATCTTTGACATCTTGTAAATGGAGTACCTGTTAAGGAACACAGTAAAACGCTCAGCATCTTTTTTTTTTTTTTTAAAAACATCTCTAACAACTTAACAATAAATAGTGCTTGTTTGTGACCAAAGCTGTGCTTTCTTGTATTTAAGGTAGCTCTTGCTCTTATCTATTACTCAAAAAGCATTTCTTTATTGACAGCCTCACATAAATCTAAAGATCCGATCCTACCAGGACTTTAACAAAATGTGTTTCCTTCCTGTGAGGAATCCACAGAAATCAATAGAGTTGTTCATGCTGGTAATGTAACTTAGTTGACTGAATCTCTGCAGTATGGAGTTATAATATTTTCAGCAATTTCACATTCCGAATCAAAAATGTGGAGTTTATGCCTGATAAATGTGGGTCCCAGTTAGTCTCCTCTTATAATTGAGCTGAAGCTTTAAAAATGCTTAACTGAGCATCATCATTACATGACATCATATGAAATTTCAGCAAAAACTTATCTGATAACTGTTTGCATGGACAGTCAAATTATGAGCTGGGAGCAGAGCTGCTGACCCACACATACCACATCCCAGCTGTCAGGAATTACCAGGCCAGTACTAGGAAGTTCTGGGATGACCTAAAACTTGCTGCATCAGAGAGGAAAAGTTCCTGCTGCTTTTGTTCACAAATAACCTTGTAAATAGGAATCAAATATCTATATATCAGGCACTAGCAACCTTCTTTTGCCTTCGTCCCCCAGTCCTGCTCTTTCTCCCTGAACACTTCATACCTTTGTAGACCCATTAAATTGCTGCGCTGCCTCAGCCTCCCCTCAGTGTCTTCCCCTCACCTTGCTCAGTAGGATCACAATGAAATCACCTCCCAAGTACACAGAAACATGCATATTCGTCACAGCCAAACTCCACAATCATTTTTTCCTCAGAAATAATTTTCTCAACTCATCTCCTCCTCCAGCTCTTTTATTTCTTACCACATTAAGGGCAGAAAGCTGTCTGTAAATTACAGCTGGGGACAAAGTAGCTCCTCTACCTGGGAGAGCTTTTAGCACAACTTTGTTCAATGATATTCCACAGTAAGTGCCAGTCTCATTTCCTTTCTATCTAGAATTTAAAATGCAAACATACCAAGGAAAAGCTCAGAGAGAGGCAGAAACTAGAACACACATGGAAAACTGGAGAAAGAACATTTAAAACATAGCAAGTTCCTCCTTAGTATCTGTGGTCAGCACATTTTGTATACCATTTGAAAAATGTGAGCCATAAATGCATTTGTGTAACAGAACTCTATTTGTGGATTTGTATGTTAACTTATTATGGGAAGGTTCAAAGCAAATTGCAGACACAAGTGAAAATGAAATTAAGCACAGATTAACATTTTGAACTCTCCCACTAGAAGGCCAGTGCTTGAATTTTCAGAAAGCGAGGAGAGTGTAGGGTATCATTTAAATTAAGAAAAGGTTTAGATTTCTTTTTTTTTTTTTTTGAAAAAAACTATCCTGTTTGGAAAAATCTGTGATGCCTAGATCTTCTTGGATGTGTTTCTGCATAGCACTGTGAATAGCACAAGACTCGGTGTAATCTGTGGTACGAGTAGGGGCGTAGAAGGACGTGCTCTGGCATACCTTCACTGAATGAGGATGCAGAGGGAAGAACTCCTAAAGGAGGAAAAGTAAATTTGAATATATAGAATGTCCCTCAGATCCAGGTGATAATTAACATATATATACTGAATTTGATCCTCATTTCCCCTTTAGATAACTGCAAAAAAATGAGGGCACCCTCAGTGAGATTTAAAAAAACTATGTAAATTTTTTGCTCATACAGAGTCAGCAAAAGAGACAGCAAGGCAGCCTCTCTGCCCCACAGTGTAAACTTGCCGAAAAGATCACATTGTGACAGAGTGATGCCACACCATGGTGCTGTAAACCCCTCTAACACCACAAGCTGCTTGTAGGGAGGAACATGGCTCAAGTTGGGCACTCTTCTACTGCATTAGTCTTTTCTTCATTGCATCACAGGAGAAAGGAGAAACCTTAACAATAAGGCTGCCAAGAACACTTACTGCTGACAGATAATGGCAAAGTTACTTCTAATTCTATAAAGTTTAGGTCTTCTTGAACGTGAAAAACCATTATCCAACCCTGGTTGCTCAAAGGAGACAAGGCTTTCATGCAACTGTTGAGAACTTGGCCTAGCCCATGTCCCCTACCACCTTACACATGTTTTAGAAAGCTTTTTCTTTATGCCAGTGATTTTAAGCCTATTTTGGTATGTGGGGCCCTGAATCACAGAATGGTTGAGCTTGCAAGAGGGCCTCTGGAGATCTAGTGCAACACCCCTGCTCAAGCAGGGTCACCTAGAGCACATTGCACAGGATCCCATCTACATGGCTTTTGAATACCTCCAAGGAAGAAGACTCCACAACCTCCCTGGGCAACCTGTGCCAGTGCTCAGTCACCCTCACAGTCAAGAAGTTTTTCCTCACGTTCAGATGGAACTGCCTATGTTTCAGTTTGTGCCCATTGCCTCTCGTCCTATCGCCGGGCACCACAAAAGAGAGTCTGGCCCCATCCTCTTGACACCCTCCCTTCAGATACTTGTACGCATTGATAAGATGCCCTGGGAGCCTTCTCTTCTCCAGGCTGAACAGGCCCATCTCTCCCAGCCTGTCCTCATAAGAAATGCTCCAGTCCCTTCATCATCTTTGTAGTCCTTCGCTGGATACACTCCAGGAGCTCCATGCCTCTCTGAAGTGTGTTCTCTTGGGTCTTTCAGATATACGGTTTACAGTCCGGCATATAAGGAAACCACTGTTATACTGCTAGTTGCACCCAGTAGGGTACTAAAAAGAACAGATAATAAGACAGACACCTACAACAGCCATATGATTTTGCACACACAGAGCAGGATGCTGACAGCCCACCTGTTTCATTTGGTCTGCAGTGTCACCTTTTGTTGCTTTATATGCCAGAGCCAGAGAAGTTGAGGTACACAGCGGAGCAAAAATGATATTGGCTGTTTTGTCCTTTTCACACAGTTTTTTGAACATATCAACTGCAAAGGCAGTGTTTGCTAGTTGCAGAGCATCCATCGTCATCCTGAAACAGAATAGGAAAGAGGGATATGACTGACAGCATAATTCTAGCTCCTGCTGCAGTGGTGCCTGGGCAGAGCACTGATTTACTTACTGAAGAGGAAGGCTGGACACCAGTATGAGAACTGGGCAGCTTGAACCTACTGGGAGAGAAGACAAGACCCCAGCTGAGCCTGCTCAGGTTCAGAGCACACCAGCAGCTTCTGAGGACCAGGGAAGGTCTCATCCACATCCGAGCAAGGTAAGTGTGAGTGATTCAGTAAGATTCATCATCTTCAGTGACAGCTGGCAATGCCACATGTTACGTGGAGACAATATTACCAGAAGCATTTGAGGAAATCTGAACAGGTCAGGGTGACCCATGCATGTTGGGTCAAACTTGATCAAATGGGAATTTAATGTTTTGAATTGATACTCTTAATATATGCCAGACTATAAGGTTTTTTTGCTTATGCTCTGGGCTCCCCTGACACTCAGACGTCCCTTTAATATTCTCATATCTCTTGCTTCATGACTAATTGAGCGTGAAATTTTTAGCTTTGGCACATGTCCTTCCTTTAAGGCAGGATTCCCTATTCTCTTTAGTCTTGCTAGAATTCTGCATAAAGCTGTCTGATCCTGTTGAGACTGCTGTAGAAACTTAAGGTCTCCTAAGTAAATACTGCTGTATACCCACTCATTGCTTCCAATGTTTTAGCTGCAAATATTTTCCTAGCAGTTCCTAGTAACTGCAGTTGCCACAGGGCTGTTAGATTATCTATGAAGTTAGGAATGGAAAGGGTGGTGCCCAAGGGATCATTGTTGCAGTCCATGTTTTGGGAAAGCCAGGGAATATTTTCATCTTCCATATCACTTTCCTATGGGTCAAACTGCATTTTGGTTTAAGCACATTTGTGTAGATCCAAGCTAATGACAGAACAACAGAATTCAAGTCAATAGCATAAGTCTGATGTTAGACCAGCAAGCACACAGATGGTGATCTTTTTAGTATAGTGAATTTAATACTAATTTGCTCCCAACACCACGTGTTCCTAAAAGGGGACAATGTGTTAACATTTGCCTTAAACAGCTCCTTCAAAGCTAACAATAAACCAAAAATGAAATGGAAAAGACGAATACTGGGAAAAGCTTCAAAAGAGCCAAGATTTTTCACAGACCTTTAACGGTGTCTTCAGTATTTGCTCTCTCCAGGAAAATTAGCAAAACATTGGAATAATGTTTTTTGGAGGGGGTGATTTAAAGATGTGGGGTTTTTTTAATCTAAACACATGCCTATTTACACTTACATTTCAGGCTCTCGTACTGAAGATCTAGAGGTTTTTATTTTACTTTTCTTTTCATAGTAGAAGGAAAAGTTATTTCTCTAAAGCATTACACTGCTAAGAGATTTACTGAGCCTTTGAAAAACACCTTAAGAACAGGTGTTTCTCTCAAACGACTCACTATTTAAAACTGCAGTTGCAAAAATTTACTTACTCAGTTCATATCATTTGCATCCTAGCCAGAAGGAAACCTTTCTGGGTGGGAGGAGCAAAATATAGAAGATAGAAGAGGGAACCGTCTTCAGCAGGGTATCTTTCTTGACCATTTACTCTCACCTCTGTTTGGAAAAGGCATTTTTAATGGGAAAATTCTCCCATTTGAGTGCATGTGCCCTACTGCCTAGCTTAGCTGAACATGCAATATGAAGGTACAGAGAAGCTGTGGAGCAGTCCCTTTGAAGCTGTGGTACTGGACAGTAGTGACTTCCAAAATAATTATGGTATTTATACATTTTTATGGGAGAAACAGAATGGGTGCATATTTTGCCTCCAACAAAGGATAAAGAACTCCTATTTTGTAAAAAGTCCTCTCTAATCAAACAAGCCTTATGAGTAAATCAATGTCCTTAGTTTTATTGTAATTCACTTCTCTATATATTCTTAGATAAGCAGCTGGTTTATTTTAGTCTAAAAGATACTGCATAAGAGGTTACTGAAATGCACTGCACAATTAAATTAAGTAAAAACTATGTCCTGGCATAAAAATCAAGGCTTTTCAGATCCATGTTTGAAAAGGACACCTAACAGGCACTGCATTCTTGCAAAGCACTCTTTCATGGTATTAGCAACAAGCTATTTGCTAACAAACCCCCTCCCACTGCAAAAAAGTAACTCAGTTTGAGGAGGGAAAACATAAAATACGTATCACTGAAAAAAGTTATCACCATTTAAAAATATGAAGGAGGATGCTTCACAACATCTGGAGGTTTGACAAGAACCCTTGTATGTGTATTTTTTTTAAAAAGTCAGAATGGCTGGACACGTCCATGTTCCAGTAATTTGAGAGCAGCTGCTTTGCAGAGAGATTATCCACAGGAGACTCCATTTTACAGTGTCAGTACACATCAGGCTGGTGCCAGACTGAGATTCAGAGAATTCCAGATATCTCGTGGAGTATAAAGCAGAGAACTAGATGCCACCGCAACACTGCGGCTATCTGTATCATTCCCACAGTCACACTTTTTCACACACAAGAGCAATTAACTGTTAAATACTCTATATAAACCACACTGCATAGGCTACCACCTTATTTTTCCCCATTAGCTCGGTGTCTGAAGAGTCATTGACATATGAACGCACAATATACGTGCATACTTCGTCTCCTCCCTCTCTTGCTCTCTCCGCTCACCTCAGCCAAAATTGGAACTTACAAATCTGGGGCAAGTACCAGCTTCCCAGGCACTTCGTACTAAGGAGTTGTTGGAAAAAAGGCCAAGGAATCAAGAAGAATTTGTCATTAGACATCTACAATCGTCACAAAGACTAAAACACGCAGAATCTCACAATGCAGAATGACAGAAAACCTTACTAGTGGTGTATATCATCATATTCTAGTGCTGGCTCGTCTAATATTATTCCCTCTAAGCTATCCATGCAATCATAATCTCTTGAAAACATTTCTTGTTCCACTCTGACTTTGAACTACATATACTAGGTTGCCATTCTACTAGTAATATTTTCAGTTACACTGGCAAATGGATCTACCATGATTTTAAGATGTGTATGTGTAAACTGTGTTTTGCTCTCTTGGGCTGCAAAAGATTGAGATGGAAATCAAATAGGAAATTCTGCAAAATCAAATAAAACTCCTCCTCCTTACGCCAGTGAAAAAGCTGAAACATGACTTAGAAACTCTTCCCTTCTGTCCTCACTAGTAACTCTGATATTGTTTATCTTGGCTTATATTCTCCAAAGTTTTAAAATTATTTTTCAGAAAGGAGTTTCCTTTACTTCAGCTGAAAATCCAAGGTGTCTTGTGGTGAACCTTTCATTCACTGTTTGTTCATCCAGTAACTGCTGATATTGTTGTAGCTTCTTTTGTGCTGACTGAAACTGGTTCTGGTAGTGGTAAAGCTCTCCATCCTTATAATGTCTTTCTTTCAGTACTACAATTGAAATAATGCAGATTCAGGGCATTTTGTTGGAGGAAAAAAAGCTCAGCTTCATCCTTATTCTTTAACACTGGTCTGGACAGCAAAGAATAATCTCTCTTCCACCATCTGGTCAGTCAGAGTTTTTAGGCCCCATTTATTAACGATGTATGATATTCAAAGGCTCATGACATTCATATTCTTGAAAAAAATTTACTGTATTAAATATTACAAAACCTTAAACCTCGTTAAAGCATTGAGAGTCTCAAGCCCTCAGAAACCATTAAAGCAAACCCCCATTAAGGGAGAGGGATTGAGACTCTCATTAAGTGGAAAGACCATTAGCTACCAATTAGCAGCTTTAGAAACCAGACAGGGCTCCTGAGTCAATAATCACAGGGAACCCTCAAGCAGGGAGGAGTCAGAAAGTTGAAAAAGAAATCTGAAAAAGGCCTGCTGCATGGATTCTTGCTGAGTCCCTCCTTTCCCAGGAAAGTAGTACGTCAGCATTTTGACAGTGCCCTGAGGCACTGTGGCATCTTGCAAGCACAGGTAGCCTGTGATCCACCCAGCTTTGCTTGAACCTGTGACTGGGCCAAGGCGTTATAGAAACACCTTCACATAATAGAGAGGCTAAAGAATTGGTTTAGGAAAACCAGATTTAAACTTGTTTATTGGTATAAGACACCATTTTTCCTTAGTCATTCTGGAATGCAATTAAAAAAAAAAAACAAAAAGAAAAACAAAGGCTTTGTTTGTGTGTTTGTTCACTAAGAGAAGGGCTAAACATAGCTCATCCATTAAAACAGTAATTAGGAAAATCCAAGTGGAAATCTGAAAAATCAGGTTAGCTATATGGTAGGGAAAATCTGATGATGCAGAACAAGTTATTTATTCTATTTTTATCTAGGTTTAGCAGTCCTTCTGGGGGAACACATCGGTTGGAGGTAAAGCATGGAAAGCGTTGGCCAGCTGATGTCTAGGGTGTGCATTGGTTTTACAGCTTAGGAGCTGTGAGTGAAAGCACTGCAGTCACTTCAGATTAAACAAACTTTCCACTGAGAGGATAAATGATATGAAACCACCCATGCGCTTGTTTGACAAATGAGGCATTAATGTTCCATACTGGCTCAAGCACAAGCACTTAACCTGCCCTCAGTTCTGTTCTTACTGGAAATATAAAAGAAAATAAAAAGGACACAACATATAAAGGAAATATGAAAATATAGGAAAATATAAATACAAGTAGGAAAAATAAATAAAACATAAAATAACTAAAAAATATAGATAGGAAATAGGGGGAAAAAAAGGAAGATATGAAGGACACAAAATATAAAGAAGATGGAAGAATTTTGTGATCTTTTTCTTCTACTTCTAAACAAATGGCAACTCTGAAAGGCAAAGTATCTGGTTACCTAACAAGGACACAATCTCCTCTGAATAGACATTTGTCTAAGGAACAGAAAACACCAGACTAGTATTTTACTTCTGTGGGATCAGTGAGTCTTATATGGTTGTGGAAAAAGCACTGTCAGCAATATAGCAGGGAAAGTCACTCCAGAAAGAAAAGAGAGAAACTAACTACCAGAACATGCTTTGTTGTACCTGAATAGCCAGTGATTTCTTCAAGTAAATGGTCACAATGAAAATAAATTGACAACTGGTAGACCTAAGTTCCTGCCCTTCACTTTAAGCAGGTGACGATTAGTCTCTCCATTAAAGTCAAAGCAAGCAGAGCAGAGCATACACACCCGTACAGAAAATGAGAGGAGTAGTCCTCCATAACAAAGACTTCTAGAACAGCCTAAATCCTACTCAGACACATGGAGCACGTTCACAACATCATACACAGCCTGCTTTTTGTCATACAGGGCAAGCAATTTACAATAGACAATAGGAACTATAGAGATTTTTAATAATTCCTAATGTATTTACAATCTCAACTGCCAAAACCTATCCGACATTTGCAAATAATCTTTTTGGGGAAAGGAATGTAGCATGATAGACACAGCAATTCTACGATGGAACGAAAACGTTGTGTAAAACCATTTGGGAGGGCTTTTGTATGCCCTTCCATATGTAGAGAGGGCATACAAAACATATCTTTGCATACAAGTTTCTTTATCCCACTCCCTTTACACAAGTATGTTTCATAATGGAGCTTTGCTAACTATTTGTTAGGTAATAATTAAAGTATCAAGGGGAGAAAAAGAAGCTATACTTACTTTGAAGGCTACAATCCTGGCAAACGAATCAATGGAATTGGCACAGCACGAAGAACTAGCCACCTGTGGTGAAACTTTGCCCAGCAGAAGAATCTGTATGCTCGCCTGCTGCCTGACACCACTCCCACTTTCCCAATCTTAATTTGGGCACACACACACTCTCTCTCCCTTTCTTCTTCTTCTTTTTTTTTTTTTCCCCTTCTCTTTTTTATTTTTGGCTTACTTGTTCTTCACAGCAGCTCCTACTTTGGAGGAGCAAAATGATTCACACCGGAGTTGTCCCTGCAAGCCCAGCTGCTGAACACAACATGCTCCAGCAAGAAATAGCAGCCTTTGTGTGTTGCCTTCAGCAAATGCGCTACAAAAGGCACCAGACAAAAAAGAATGAACACTCCAGAAGAGAAAGTCTAGGAGCAAATGGGCAATTAAAAGATCTTCTGAGCAAAACCAGTGCTCCAGGTTACATTAGAATCACGGCTGCTTGTAGAAAATCATAATTGTGAAAAAGGCAACCAGGAAGACAACTAACACGTGTAGGAGTGCATGGCTAGGCACTTTGCATTTGTATATGCATTAAGGCAGTGTATTACTTTGTAAGGAGTGTATGTACCCATTTGGTTGCCTTAGAAGCCCAAGGCCAGACTGGAGCTAAGGCTCAAGGAAAAGTATCTGCCCTTCTCGTTCCTCTAAAGAGAGCTTCCTCCAGCAGGAAGCCAGACTCTTCTACATGGGAGCAGACTTTCCCACTCAGTTTTCTGGCCCTCTGCTAGCTGTCCCCAGAAGTGTGAGGGGAACAAAAAACTATGGCTCCTCTCTTTAACCTCCAGAATGAGGAGCATGGGATCCCACAGGCCAGGACAAGCCATGGCTTCATGTCCTACTATCCACATTTCTACTGAGGAACATAAGGGGAGGAAGAAAAAGAGAGGAAGATGTGAAGATGCAGCCTGCCAGGCCTTTTTTTCATTTGAAAGACGTACACAGCCCTTAGCAAGGAAAAGGTGGCCTACCTCTGCTCCAAACCATTTCTCTTGTCAGCAAGTCTAGGTGCCTGCAGCAGGGATTAGCAACTACTTCCCGGGAGGCTAATGTACTTGTCTTATCCCCATGAGGAAATGGTGTGCTACACCACAGGTGCAGATTGGGTTCACACCTTAATAACCCCAGGTGGCCCTGGGTACTTCAAAACTACTAGAGTACTACAAAAAAGGTAAATACAAGATAACTGAGTTTGCTTTCAGGTTTGCAGTGCTGGCATGCTCAGCTGCCTAAAGGAAAGGGCTAGAAAACTGAAGAATGCCTTTCCACTGACATGGTGCATCCTTGGTGACAGTAGGAATTGCAGAGTTGTTATCCCCTTCTGGAACAGCATGCTCTTTTCTTATTTTGAATATAAATCAGTCCACAACATAGCTTCCTGATTTGATCCTACAAATGTTTCCTTCCAAAAGGCTCATCATAAAGTCAAAGCTATTTTAACTCCCCTGTGAGTTGGAGATCTCCTGTTCTGACATTATCTCAAAAGATAAGTTAGAGAATAAAAGGTAAAAACAGTGGGAATGTGATGTGGAATAGTTTGGTTATTAAAATCTGAAGCCTCATAATACAGACAAGTTACGAACAAAGCAATAGCTGAGCTTTTGTCCCCCTTTTCCAGCTCTCAAACATTTTCTGCTCTTCTATAGCCCAATGAAAAAATACAAACTAATACCTTCGTGGATATTAGGAGCCGGCAGTTACATATAAAATATATGTGTCTTCATCTATGAATCAGCAAGCTGGACATGCTTCATTGCGGAAGAGATGTGACCAGCCAGATGACTTTCCTGTTACTCAGCCAGCTTTCTGCCCTAGATCCCCTGGCTCTCCCTGCCACTCCCTCTGAACACCACCCAGGAACTTTGTTCCTGCACGTTGCCTGAAAGAAAACAGACTTCCTCCACTCAAGCTCAATTTGGAAAAAAAAGGGAAAAAAAAGGAATATGCCTGCTGCTTTATAGAGTGTCGTGAACTATTTCAGAGACTCAAAGTGTCTACTGCAGTCTTTTATATTTTTAATTCATTGATGCTCAGGGCATGTCTGATTGCAATTCATGCTATCATGCTTTGGAGAACACATTGGAAATCACCTAGAAATTGGACTAAATAATGAACAGAACAAACTGATGCATATATTTTATCCCACCCGCTCATAAAAGGTACAGTGTCTTTTAACCCGGTTGGAGCTTTCATAGAGAGCTCTGGGTCTTGTGAGGACGTCAATAATAGGAAGTCATTTGTACGCCTTTAGTTTGATTTAACAACCTTCCTTTTTAAAACAACTAGAAAAACTGAAAGAGTAAAATTGCAGCATCTTTAAATATGTAGACACAGCAGAAATTCTTGTATGCCTCATGTAACATGGGCCTAAGTTACTATTTAGCAATAGGAATAAACACAGTCAAAAATACTTTCCATTTTATTAACAGTAATAAAGATTATACTGACAGTTATAAACCACAAAATTCAATTTACAATTAAAATAACACCTACAATAAAAAAGTGTTATGGTTCCATTGAAACAGACACAAACTGAACAGTAACAAGCTATCCCTCTCTTTTTTCCCTTTCTTCCCGCAGCATTTGCATTGATATGCATAAAGGATGGTGTGACACAGCACCACAACAATTCAAAATGTATGTTGGCAGTTCAGTTTTCTTCAGATGCATCTACAGACGTAGAAGTACTGCTCACCAGTAATTACTTCTAACAACAGACAGGAAATTACTTTTTCATACTTACATGTGCTCACATTATTGTTTGGTTTTCCTGGTAAGACTGTTTGGGATTGGGGTATATGTTTTTTTGAAAAAAAATTGAAACAGACAGCCAAACCAACTTGCAACCAGAACAAAGCCTTTAACGGAGCAAACAGGAAGTGAATGATCCCTTGTGCTGGAATCAACTCGTTTACCATCTGACCATTTTCCCTAGACACTGCTCCCAAAGCTTAACACCTGGCATAATGCTTGGTGAAATATAAATAAATCAGCTTAATAAAAGACATAGACATGACAGACCATTTGGAAGAACCTGTGGAAATATCCTCCTAATATGACTAGGCAGCCAAAACACGAAGGAAAATCCATATATGCAAAAAATACAAAAAAACGCAACACATTAATCTGAAAGTTTATCTTTTTCTCCACTGTACAAATGACTAAGATCAACTTCAATACAACAAAAACA